CTGCGCCCGGCCGTGTGGGAGCAGACAGCGAGCTTCCCTCCCCCCCCCCTGCCCTCACCCAAATTGAATTTCCATTTATGTTAGCGAGGCAATGGATTATAGCTCGGAGGGGTGCTGCCTGCTTCAATCCCTAATTTGGTGCATCAATTGTGTTTAAACCCACTTACCTGTAAGTCAGTCTTTGTTCCAGGCAGGCAGCCCTCGCCTCCTGCCGATGGAGGCAGCTGCTTCCCCGAGCTCCCCACCGCAAATGTCAGGCACTGCTGCTTTCAGGGCTCTGGAAACCACAGCTTATCTCCCTTTAGGGCTGGCTTTGCATCTGGGGTCGTTAGTGGCAACGAAAGGCCACGGTAGTTTTAGCACGTCGCCAGGAGGGTTTGGACGTGCGGCTCTGCGGAGGATGGGGCCAGCAACACCCGGCGGGGAATTAATGCTGCTGCCAGGGTTCGTACAGCATCCAGCACAGCCGAGTTGGGCCTGGGGGACACATCTGAGCACTGTCCATTAAAAATAGTCCTTCTCCGGGGGCTGAAGGCATGCTCCAGGTATTCCCTGTGCATTACTGCACCCTTAGCTCTTTTCTGCTGGGGGGGTTTGGCAGGCTCTGCCTGGAGCAGGGCAGCGGGGTGTGCGGGGACACCTGAGTCTCGTCTCCAGCACAGGATGCTCCCATGCTAGTGCCAGCGCAATCGTGCCGGCATTAGCTCCGGCGAGAGCTCGCAGGTGGGCAGAAAGCCGCTGCCTCTGCTCTGCCTTTGAGGAAAGGGGCTGAACCCACGGCTCCCATCCTGCAGCCCTCCCGGTGCTCCTCCCGGTAGCTGGCCCACGGGAAGCTGCTCTGCGTCAGCCCCGAGCGGTCGGAGTTTTGGAGTCAGGAAACTGGCATTTCTACATCTCATTGAAGTCTTAAAATAAACACCCGGAGCAATGAGTGGAAAGCTGGATCCTCGCTCCTCGCCTGGATTTATGAGCAACGACTGGGGAGAAACTGAAGGGGGGAGAGAGAGATCTACATAATTTTTTTCTCTTTAAATAAATTCTCACTGCTTATCTGCAAAGTTCAGCTGTTTTCAAGCTGACCTGCCCATGTTATGCTGTTCCACCGCAAATTCCTTCTGTACAGGAAAGCTCAGGAGCTCCACTTGCACACGCCAGCAACCTGGGGCTTCATCTCTAATAGACAGAGGCAGAACTCGTTAGCTAAGGACCCCCTCCCGCCCCCCCCGGTGAGGATCATTTGCCTTCCTGCCATGCTGGCAGCTCAGCTTCTTTCCCCTCACAATGAGGAAACAAAGCCAAGAGAGGAGGAGAAGTGAGTGAATCTGTGCTTGGAGGAGGTTAGCAATGGGGCAAGGCAAAAATCTGTTCCCAGGGGCTTTTGTAACGCAGCCAGATGTCTACTCAGGCAGCCAGGGCTGGAGGACGAGGGACATCCATCTGATGCTTTCAGACAAGGATCTCGGAGCACAGCACGTCCGGAATGAGCCCAGGAGCCTCAGGCAAAGGCGCGGTTGCTGCCTCCTCCTTCGGGAAGATGAGCGGAGCTGCGGATCGGTTGAGCCGTGGAGGTGCATATCCAGCCTGGGGCACCGCAGGGGTTCGGTTCACACCTCCTGCGAGTATGGCCCTAAGAGCTGTCAGGGTGAGAGCCCTCCCAGGCAGCTCTAATGACCTCCCGCGCGTTAAGCTGTCCGGACATGTGCTTTTAAAGCTGACACCAGCAGCAGCAGGAGTGCTGGTGTGGGGCCGGGCTGAGCACTGGGGTCACTGCTCCCATGGGGCGCAGGATGGAGCCTGGGAGAGCTCAGCTCTCCGGCTTTCTCTCTGCTTTGGCCTTTTGCCTGATAAAGCTGACTGAGAGACCAAAACCTCTAACCAGCAGGTCACCCGACAAGGAGAGATGTTCCGGATCAATTGCCGCGTTCCTGGGTAATGGTTGTGTCTTAGGACAGTAAAACCTCGTCGAATTTAACCTAGAGATGCACACATTGATGATTCATTAAAACACCCGGGCACTGAGATGAATCTATCTCCTCTCATTACACAGGCTGGGAAACGTGGATCTGCCCCCGTGACATTGCTGCAAGGACCACAGGTGAAACCCAAGACCCAGAGGGGACTCCGCACAGAAGGCATCTGAGAGCATCGCTTGACATGTGAACCAGCGCTAATAAAACAAGACCACAAACTCCGAGGCTAGAGCAAGGCAGTGTGTGCTTATCAAAGAGCTTGAGGCGGTTCATTATAATTCCAATTAACGTAGAAAAGTTGATAACCGAAAGAGAATACATCAGACTTGAAACAAATTAGAAGGGGGAAAGGGAGAGACAAAAGGTATCTTTAAACTGGAGCCAAAGTCCCAGCTGCCACAAAAGCAAAGAAATAAACAATATTTAACATCTCCAAAGTTGATGGGAGCAGGGTGGGAGAGGAGCTGGGCTTTGCATGGGGACCCTTATTTTTGCTTAAACCGTGCTGGGTTTGGAAGGGCCAGAAATAATTCAGACAAAGGCAAAAAAGAAGGGAAGGGGGGGGAAGGGAAGGGAAGGGAAGGGAAGGGAAGGGAAGGGAAGGGAAGGAAATAACAAATATTTAACATCTCCAAAGATGCAGGCAGGCAGGGCCTTTGATGGGAGCCAGGGTGGGAGAGGAGCTGGGCTTTGCATGGGGACCCTTATTTTTGCTTAAATGCCGTGCTGGGTTTGGAAGGGCCAGAAATAATTCAGACAAAGGCAAAAAAGAAGGGAAGGGAAGGGAAGGGAAGGGAAGGGAAGGGAAGGGAAGGGAAGGGAAAAGTCTTTCATTTCTGGCTGTTTGGGGGAAATCAGTGTTTTCTCTGGCATTTAGCTTTGCAGGGAAAATATTCAAATCTCAAAGCCTGTGGCATCTCCCATTTGCCTTCCTATTCCTGAGATAGCCTCATGGGATAATTATCTAAATAATCAGAGCAGGGCAGATATTCTCTCCTTGTCCCATCCCAGAGAAATGCCATTTGAAAAGAGGAGCACACCCCAGGTGCTGGCCATCCGGTGCTAAACTCTGTACCACACCGATGAGAAACTCCCGGGAGGAAAACGCAAGCAGACGGGGACATTCACCCGCACTTGGCTCACCACGACCTCAGCAGCTGCGGGACTGGAGACCCAGGGCGGCACCGCTGGACCCTTGTTTCTCCCAGGTGCTCTCAGGGGTGAAATCCGGGCAATGCCAGCACTGCAAAGCCCCTGGGGCCACCGGGGTGAGGGGCCATTCCCTGGCACTGCTGGATGGGGGAAAGGAGCAGCCTTGGAGCTGCTGGGGCAGGAGGATGAGAAGGGCTGAGTTCTGCTCCCGTGATAGTTATTAACCAAATACGTAATTTTCCACCTGCAAAAGTAAATTGAGTCCCTGAGGTGCCCTCCACAGGCAATACATCCCCGTGGGGTATTTTGGAGGAGGATAGGAGGAGGAGTTCGCACTCCCCAGCAGTAAGACAGTTCCTCGCTGCAGTCCGTTCACACTCCCCGCGTCCTCCCAGGCTCTCCGATGAACGATACGGCACGCTGCTCATAACGTGCTGTTCATTCTAATTTTCTTCCTTGATTTCTCTGAGCTTTAACAAGCTGGGGTGACTCTGCTCTGGTTTGTACCTTTTCTGTCCCCAGCTGCTGGGAGTCTGTGGGGCTGTCTCCAATGCTGGGGTGTGCAGGAAAGACCCTGTGAGATGCCAGGACCCCAGCTCAGCACTGCCAGGCCGGCTCTACCCTGCTAAAATAAACTCTTGCAGCATTTTCCTGGAGGTGTGATCACAATTACATGTAAAACTATTATTAACAGGTTAAAAAATGGATGGAGGCCGAGATGGGAGGAGAACAGCCACCTCCCACACTGCCTCTGGCTGAGCTATCAGGCTGGTTCACTGGAGCAGAACTCACCATTGCCATCACCCAAAACATGGAAAGGACATGTCCTCTCCTGAGACCCTCCCTCTGGACCTGCTCTGCCACTCGTGAGAGCTCCAGCTAATGACACCGCAGTCGGCTCGGAGAGGTTCATTTTAAACCCAGCAGTGACTAAAGGACCACGGGGCTCCAGGTCGCTTAACTCGGCTCAGCTTTCGGCAGCATCTCATGCAAACAAGTCCCCAGGGAGGCCAGCCTCCAAAAACAAATAAACACAGAAACGGCTCCCCGGGCTTCGTGCCATTGGCGGGGCCTCTGGGAGCGAACGTGCAGCCGGACGGGTCCCCGCGGTGCAGCCCAGACCTTGGCACAGCCTGAGCAGCACAGCGCAACAGGGTTGGGGGGAGCCGAGGGGTCCCCACGGTGCGCTTGGGCCAGCTGACCTGCAAGCCATGGGCCTGTGTGGTTACTCGGAGGAGCAAAAAGAAAACGGGGATGCACACAGTGATACCCTGACCTCCACCCAGCAGAGCGTGGGCAGGGAGCGGAACCAGGACTCTGTGTCCGTCAGGCAGATGGCCCTGGGACTTGATCCCCCCTAGTCTGGCTACCTTTTGGGTGATAAGTGATCCCAGGCTGGGGGACATGGGAGGCTGTGGCTGAGATTGCTCCTGGGGCTATCCTGGAGCTTTCGCCCTGCAGAGCTGGGCGAGAGGCACCGCAAGCAGGGCAGAGCGTGTCCACACAGGGCTCAGCAAGAGCAGCTTGCTGAGTAAACAGCCCTTTCCAGCCACTAAGGAAGATTTAAGAGTGAATAACATCAGCCCAGTCGAATTCAATTGCTATTGATAAAGTCCATGTGCAATTAGAGCCAATTAAGGGGAGGCAGCGAATGACAAGTGTTTGGCCAGGAGGTGGGGGGGTCAATACAACAATCCAATTTCCCAACAACCAAATGCATGAATGACAAGTGTTTGGCCAGGAGGTGGGGGGGGTCAATACAACAATCCAATTTCCCAACAACCAAATGCAATTAAAGAGTATCACTTACCCGGCTTGCCCAGGAGGGCCAGCGCATAAATGGGCAAAGCCAGGCATGCGGGTTCCGTCCTGCCCAGCATGCAGACCTCTGGGAGCAAGCCCTGCCCCTGCCCCAGCTTCAAGCTGCGGGAAGTGGCATCCATGTACTTCACCATGATCGCGGTGTTCCTGGTCATCTTGGTGGTGGCCCTGCAGGGCTCGGCGCCCCGCGGGAGTGATTTTCCCTACAAGGTGCCCCTCGATCCCCAGGGGCTGCTCGAGCTCTCCTGGAACATCAGCTATCCCGAGCAAGCCGTGCATTTCCAGCTCCTCATCAGGGACCTGCAGTTCGGGCTCCTCTTCGGGATGTCGGACAGGGGCGAGTTCGAGAACGCGGACCTGGCTGTGCTCTGGAGCGACGGGCACAATTCCTATTTTGGGGTGAGTCCCTTGTGTGTTTGCATGGCTGCTTTTGGGGTTACCTCCCCACGGGTGAATCTGGCTGGTGGTTTGAAAGAGTGAGGCTGGTCCAGGGCACAGCGCACGCTGAACCGCTCCCGCTGCGCAGGTGGAAAGGGTCCAAAAGGGCTTGGGGGTTTTTATCCCAGACGGAGCCACAGGTCAGGCCTACACTATGGGTTTGGCATAGGATCTTAAACCCAAAGAGAAAAGAATAAATACAGCAGCACATCAGTAAGGCTGAGTGGAACCAAAACCTGGATGTCTCAGCTATGCTTAGCTGCAAAGAGCTCCAACAGGTGGTTGTACAGACCAGCTCACACTCACACACACACACACACACACACGCAGGATGCGTCAACAGCTCGGTTCACTTGTGCGCTGCTGTCAGTCACATTAAAAATTAACTGCAGCTCCCGTTAATGACTTTGAGACAGCGCAAAAGTTATCAGCCAGAAAGGCTGCTCCTGCCAGCACCAACAACCCAGCTGCGAGTCGCGTTCGACGCTATTGCGGAGATCAACAGGACACAGGAAAACACAACCTGACAGCTGCCTGCCCGCGGCGCGGTGTTATCAGAAATTAAACATGCAAATGTATTTAGGCAGTACACCTCGTGGTAGCAGATGGGGGGGGGGACACTAATTTCTAATTTTGCTGTTTGATTTTGCTACTGCGAATTACTGTCCTTTCTGACACAGTCCGTTTGTCCAGGTTCTTGTTTGGTTTGTCTTCCCGCCGGGGCTGCAGTTACAGTAACTACCCCTGTGCTCTCCGGCAGCTACCTATCCCCAGACCACCACGTTAGGCTTATTGCAATTGCGCTTGGCTGCAGAAAGCAATGCACATTTTTCCCCATGTGAGGCTTTCCAGTAAGTTAAATTTTACCTCTCTGCTTACTTCAAACTAACCATAAAATACATTCTTTCACAATCAGATGCAATGTGATCTGCAGTGTAATGAGAGGATGAAAAGGAGGGCCTATTATCTGTACTGTTTTTCTGCTAATTACCAGCCATTCAGGATGTGTGGTGGCCCGAGTGCTACAGTATTTCACAGCATCATGTTAAAAAAACATAAAGGATCATTTCTAATCTGTCTTCATGTGCTCACCGAAAGACAAACAGCGCTGAATTAAACACCGGGCAGCATTTGGGCTTTCTCTCTCAGCTGGTGCTGTACAGCATCCTGCAAGGAGATTTCTATAAATCTCTCCAGTCCTGGTTTCTCTCTCCCAGCAGCGTTTCTTCTGGATAAGTATGTCAGCTGTTAAAAAGACCCAAAATTGCTAACCCCCCCATGTACTACGAGATTAATTTGCACACCATACTCCTATGACAACAAATGTCATGCTAGTTTCATGTAGCTGATTTTACTCTCCCCCTCTAAGGACAGTATGTTCTCGAAATATCACTCTATACTTCTGGCTGAAGCGATGCCAAGATGCTTTATTCTTTTTCTTATGGTTTTTGCCCCAAGATAAGCGAACCGGTGCCACTTGTGTACGTACAGCAAGGTACTTCTTAGGTGCCTTTTCTCAGTAAACAAAAGATATCAGTGGGAGATGCAAAAGACCAAGAAAACAACACTGTTCAAATCCAAATTATTGCAGGTTTTTATACACCAAACCTTCAAATCCTTAAGCACAGGAGTAACCTACTGCTTTGCTTCTCGGTGTGGCTTTGTCACCATCGTCAACAGCGAGCAGTTTTTGGGAGGCCTTGCTGGCCTGCCGAAACAATCTGGTCACAACAAATTAAGGATTTTGAAGAAGGATAGCGATTCCTCGGGCTGACGCTACAGCCCAGCACGGGTCTGATCTTAAATTGCAAGCAGCTGGTTTGTGGCAAGGGTATTGGAGAGCGCATTACCCCCCCCAGAATGTCCCCCCCAGCCAAATACACCCAGAACACAGCACAGACCGATGCAACACCTTCATGTGTCCCTGCGGGCTTTCCTCCCCCCGCCTCCTTTCCCCCCGTCACATCTCAACTTGTAAAGGTCTTTCTGCAGACTATTAATGCTGGGTCACTTATTTCACAGGTCTGCCTGTGCCGAGCACCAAGGGTCTCATGGCAGGGGCCACGCTGGCACGGCTCTGCCCGTGGGCTGCCGGAGGGCGGCGTGGGGCAACCAAAACACAGGCTCCCTCCACCTCTGGGAGGGTGAACCGACCAGAGGGTGAACAGAAGGAGGACCTCACGACCCGCGGTACCGCTGGAGGTCACCGCCGTGGGCTCCTCAGGCTGAGCGGGGCCAGTGGAGCCTCCTGGCTTAGCGGGGTGCTCTTCCTCCCGCAGGATGCCTGGAGCGATGCCAAGGGGCAGCTCCACATGGACTCACAGCAGGACTACCAGCTCCTCGGGGCTCGGAGGGCTCCCGAGGGGCTCTACCTCCTCTTCAGAAGAGCCTTCAGCACCTGTGACCCCAAGGACTACCTTATAGAGGTACGGCATCGCCCTCACCCCGCTATAGCACTCCCCGGCCCCGTCCCAGCCCTGGGGCAGAGCTCTAAACCCCAACCTGCATGGTTATACCTGACCAGTGTTTTGTTTTGGGGACAGCATCAGGCGTTTGTGCTGTCTAGGGTAGAAAGGAAGCGTGCTACAGATGTCAGCCCTGGGACATGAGTAATGTTTGGCACGATCTATTTACAACCCCTTATAAACCTGTATAAAGTGTAGATTTTAGCTCGTTTGCATCATCCGGTCCTGTTAAGCATGTGTTAGGTCTATATAAGTACCCTCCTGCATCACTCCGTTTTGCAGTCTGGAGCCAACTGTTTGGAGTGTTACTAAGAGGTGTTGGTGTTGTTCAACGGGCTGCAAAGAGGAGGGTTTTGGCAGGAGCCAGAGCAAAGGGACGGCAAATAGAGCCGCTGCGGTGTGCTTGTGTGTGATTTAGTGGAGTCTCTCCTGGTCTGTATTCACCGCTCCCCCACGAGACAGGATTTGGGGGAAATGTTCCCTGGGGGGATGTCGAAGAGCTTCAGGGTCTCAGCCACGGACCCCGGGTGTGGGCAGGAATCAGCACCAGGCTCATTTCAGATGAAAGCCTTTGGTGGGCAGGATATTTTAAAGCCAACGTAGGCATAGAACATCGTTGAATTTTTGTTGCTAGTTTTCAAAAGCTTGTCTTGTGGTAAGAAACGTCTACTGTCTGTCAAAACATGGAGAGCCCTGGAGGAAAAAAAAAATCTGTGTGTGAACCGGGAAAAGACTTGCAGGTCTTTATTCTCTGATCCTTTAAGAGAAAATTATTCTCTCTTCCTTTCTTCCTTACCTCCTGTCCAGAGCTTACTGGGTTCAGCAGCACCGTCCTTGCTTGCAGTAGACTTTCAGCAGAACTTCTCATGGTACTCCCCCAACAGAAGTTGGGAGAAAGGGAGGATTTCAGGGTGAAGTTTTTCTGCTGTTCCTCCCTAGGCTGCTGCCCATGGCCATTGCCAGGACCAGGGTTCAGGGTGGGATGAGTCCTGAACCGACGTGGCCATCCCAGCCTGGAGGTCAGGAGGGATGAGGGGCTCTGAAGAAGCAGAGAGATGTTACCCTTATGGGCAGGCGAGAGGTGTGAGGGCAATAGTATTAACTACTTAAGTTTAAAACTGATGCCATCTAGGGAAAACTTTTCAGACTCTCCCAACTGGTAGGGAACCCTCTGTGATCACGTCAGCCAAAGAAGTGCCCCGAAATCTGCAGTCTTTCCAGGACAGCCCAGCAAAGTGAGCTACTGGTGAAGCCAGGGTGGCTTCCCATCTCGGGGTGGGTCAAAAGGCCCGTTCCTGGACTCATGCCACCAATACTGGTGCTAATAGTCCATGCAGTTCACATTCCTGCATGAAAAACTACCTGATATATTTTGCTCTCGCTTCAGGATGGCACCGTGCACCTTATCTATGGGATCCTGGAGAAACCGGTCCATTCCCTCCAAGCCATCAACATCTCTGCCATCCACAGGGGACTGCAGAGGGTGCAGCTGCTAAAGCCCAACATCACCATCCCTGAACTGCCCAGCGACATGAAGACCATGGAGATAGTGGCCCCTGACGTTGTCATTCCCAGCCAGGAGACAACCTACTGGTGTTACATGGCAGAGCTCCCAGACAGCTTCCCCAAACATCACATTATCATGGTAAGAGGCAGGAGAAGAGGGTTGCTTTCCCTGGTGCAGATCAGCAATCGCGTTCACGTTCAGCCATTCTGCAAAGTCCACCTCTCCCCTGTCCTTCCACAGGGAGGCTTTCAGACCCATACATCTTCCCCAGCATGGTACCAAAACATCTCCCAGAGCCATCCCACCAGCCAGTAGCACCCTCATGTCTCCTAGAGAACCCCAAATCAGAAGTTTCTCAGCAGGAGGTGGCAGGGTGGTGACTTTCCACCTGGCACATGGAGCAAGTAGCAGGGCAGGTTCAGAGCTGACCCCCTGCAGAAGGCAGAGCTGTAGCCATCAAGGACAGACCCGTGGCAGGATTATGGCACACAATGAACCACGAGGAATATATAAACATGGGAAACAAAGGAACAGGGCTGGCGAGAGCAGGGCAGAGCGAGCCAGGATATGAACTGGCATACTCCAGATTAGGCATACTCAAAAAAAAAAAAAAAAAAAAAGGGGTTACAGACATAAATGCGACTTGTGTGCATGGCCCAGACGTGTTGCACATGCTTGGGTCACCTCCCCCATAGGAGAGGCAGAAACCTGCAGGCAGCTTAGTGCCGGGGAAAGGCAGGCGTAACGCCGGTCTGACTGCCCGTCACGAGCTGCTGGGAGAGCATCGCCCCGGCAGGCGCGGAGGTGGCTCGGCAGATGACCTGGCACACCCAGAGTCAAAACCACACAACAGGGAGAGGGAAAACCTCGACACACGAGCCAAAGCGAGTGCTTAGTGATTTATAGGGGAGAGACGGCGTTGCAAAAGAAAACTCAGAAGGAGGATTTTCTCTCCAACAGATGGTGTGAAATGAATCATCTGTGTGTAAGTAAAAAGTGCGTAACTCCTGATACCTTCCCGCTGCTGCAGATCATTTCTACAGCTGGCGCTTTTAGCCAGAGCCATTCGTCAGGCTTATTTGAAGTCACTCTTTCTACCCCAAATCCCACTCCCCGTGCCCCAAGCAGCTGTTGGCTAGAAATGAAACCCAATAGCTGCAGGCAGAGCTACTGCAATGTGGGCAGGACCCTCTTTAGGAAAAAGCAATGTCCCCAGGGTCACCTCAGACCTCCAAAACTGGCAAAGGACTCAGTCATCACAAAGCAGACCAAGATCATCTGCTGATCAGATGCATCTGTCGCTGGAGAAGGGATGAGATGTTTCTCTATGGGTTCTGGTGGACTCTGGGTTGGTCCCAAAGCCAACCAAGAGCTCTTGGCCATTGGTGCCTCATACCCAGAGCAACCTTCCCTCCCCATCACGCGGCAGAAACTGTCTCCCATTCAGTAACGGATAGCAGACATACCTGCCTTGGGCTCCTTGTGGATCCTGCACAGACAGCAGCCCCTGGGGATGGGCTCTCGGCAAACAGTCTTAATGTGTCCTCCTTCTTTGACACTGCTTTGCAGTACGAGCCAGTGATCACGGCGGGCAATGAGGCCCTGGTCCACCACATGGAAGTCTTCCAGTGTGCTGCCGAGTTCGATAGCTTCCCCCATTACAACGGGCCCTGCGACTCCAAGATGAAGCCAGACCGGCTTAACTACTGCAGGCACGTGCTTGCCGCATGGGCCATGGGAGCACAGGTGGGTGCAAGATGGGACCCACCACCCTGGGTGAAAGCTTTGCTCCTGGACGCTTTCCTGCTCTCACCCAACCCTTCTTGATCCCTTCTTGCAGGAATGGGCATCTGAACCCTCCCAGTGTGGGCTGCTCCAATCCCAGTCTCTGCTGGGATTTGTGTCCAGCCCTGTCTGAGCTCCCCATCCTCCCCCCAGATGTGTCTGATTTTCCACCTCACCCCAGCCCACCTCCTCGGCACCGTAAATCGGTGTGATGCCGCTACTCAGTGGTTATGACATTGTATGTGCATGCCGGCATGCGAGAAGCCTTTGGAAGCAAGACCAGCTCACTGAGCACAACCAAGAGCACAAGTCATGTCCCTCAGCCCACGGTGGGGGTCAGGATTATGCCCAGACGTTTCCCTTAGCCTTTTCAGCCTTGTTGCCAGGAAAGTCACCCCACTGCTCCCCTAACACCCTCCCTCTGCTTCCAGGCTTTCTACTACCCTGAAGAAGCAGGTCTTGCTTTTGGTGGCCCGGGCTCCTCCAGATATTTGCGCCTGGAGATTCATTACCACAATCCCCTGGTGTTCAAAGGTGAGTGGGCACATGGCGATGCCCAGTGCCTCCCCAGTGAGGCAGTGGCAGGAGAGCTGGGTAAACGCCAGGGACTGCCACCCTGACGGGGAGGGCTCTTTCAGAAGAAAACTTGGCCAAAATCGTAGCCCTGTTTGCAACTTTCTGGAGACCTCGTGGTCCAGATCTGTCTTAGCGGGAGGAATACATTAAATCCCCACCATGCTGCTGCCTTTCTGGTCTCAGCAAAGTCATTCTCAACGGAGGCTGGACCCCGTCCTCGTGCATGCCCAGCGATGGGGAGGGATGCTCAGGGAAGGGAGCCTGGCTGAACCTGCAGCCCCCCGGGCAGAAAGCCGCCCCTGCACGTCGTTCCTACAGGGCAATGGTCCAAGGCAACACCATTATTTAGCTGGGCTGTCACAGGGTGTGCCCCCAATTTCTGTGCAAGGTGGTGGTGGTGGGTCTGAGCTCAGGGCCAAGAGCAACAGCAGTGCCGAAGTCACCAGAGAGACAGCACCAGCCTGGCTGAGGATGGGGAAATTTAGATGTTGTTTTAATGGTACTCCTGCTTCAATAACATTGTCAGGAGACACATTTAAAAAAAAAAAGGATTCCAAACAACCCAGTTTCTTCATTTGCATAAAAACAAGTAGCTTCTTGACTAACCAAGTATATTTTTAGGAGACCAGAGCATATGTACTGTAGATCAATCATAGCACATTCGGCAACTCGAGAAGAAACACGTCTATAAATACAGAGCTCATGTCTTTCATAATTTATCTGTTTTTGCATGTTAACCAATAGTGTCTCCCCTGTTATTCTTATCCCTGGGTGGGTTCCAGCCCAGAGACAGGGGGTTCAAAGCCAGCCTGAACCCCTTCTGACCTACTGAACCTGCCCTTTCCCTTTGCTCGCAAAGCTGGGTGGTGAATGGGAGCCAGAGCTTGGCTTTGCATCTCAGCAGAGCTTGCTGCTGCCTCTGCCTGTCCCGTGGTCAGCATATGCCAGGGCACGTCATGGGCACAGGGTCTTCTCCAGTTCCCACCAGCTGTGTTTGGGCACTGGGGGGCGGGGGGAGCAGGTGGTAAATGGAGCAATCTCAAATGCAAGAAAGACCAGAAAATTTCCAAATGCAAGGAGTACTTGCTCCATAGGCATTTCTCCTCCTGTCAGGCCCCCAGTAACACCGTGGCCTTAGTTCTTTGGATGCATCAGTCAAAGAAGATGCAATAAGGCATATTTCTGAGGGAGTTCTCCAAAGCATCCCATGATCTGTCCTTCTGCTTTGGGCTCTCCAAAGGTACTCCTTACCTCTCTTGGGAGCAACTCAACCTCAGGTTGGTGACCTCTCTAGGGGACCAGACACGTGTCTGGGACCACTCAGTAAAGATTTGCATGAAAATATCTGGGATTTAAAACGAATAAGAACTGCACACAGGAAGAAAGCTGCGAGCGAGAGGCCGGCACGCCTCTCCCCACTGTAGCACAGCATCATTTTTCATGCCTGACCTTGTCCCGGCAGCCGTCACTTCTCCCGCGGTGACTTGCAGCCTCGTCCTCTTGCCTGCCAGGTCGGCGCGACTCCTCGGGAATCCGCCTCTACTACACGGCCACCCTGCGACGCTACGATGCTGGCATCATGGAGCTGGGCTTGGTCTACACGCCGGTGATGGCCATTCCCCCGGGTGAGGATGCCTTCATCCTCACAGGGTACTGCACCGACAAATGCACCCAGCTGGTGAGTGCCTGTCCTCTCCGCCCTGGCTTTGGCTCGGAGAAGAGAGGTTGCAAATGGCTTTTCCAAGGCAGCAGTGATACAGCACCGAGCTTCAGGCTCCCAATTCCCAGTTTTAAACTCCCCAAACCACTTACCATGAGATTGTGCTGGAAAGAAAAAAATCTGCTGTGTACAACAAACAGTGAGCAGCTGGTTGGGATGCCTGAATCTCCCTCGAAGCAGCTCTCCTGGGGAGCCATCTGCTCCGGCTCCCCGGGGTACCATTCCCATAAAACTTACTGACAAGCTGACTGTGCCCCAGCGGTGCTTTCCCCCACGGAGATGGGAAGATTGGCCTCTGCTTTCAAGGAGCTCGCCAAGAGCTCCCTTAAGTATGTTTCCAAATTGCCCACCTTGCTCTCAAGGAAGTTTTAGTGGACGGTTTTGTAGCGCCTACCCAAAAGGAACCATTTGTGCCACTGCCAACGAATGCAAGGAAGCAAGCAGCGTGCTGCTCCTGATGACTTAGGGCACAGCAGTGCATAAATTGGATTTGACAGCAGACCGAGCGTCTGTCCCTCTGCAGGGAGCTCACTTCTACGCTGCCCCAAGGGCACCGCAATCCCCAAACCCCCATGTGGGAGCCAGTGCAGGGACAGCCGGTCCCGAGCACGCAGCAAGGGGGTGCGCGGGCAGGGAGAGGGATGGGGTCGGGTACGGAGGCTTGAGCCGTCCTTCCCCCAGGCTCTGCCCGCTGCCGGCATCCGCATCTTCGCCTCCCAGCTCCACACTCACCTGGCAGGAAGAAAAGTGGTGACAGTGCTGTCCCGGGACGGGAGAGAGCGGCAGGTCGTGAACGCCGACGGTCACTACAGCCCTCACTTCCAGGTACAGGGGTATGCAGGGGCAGCGGGGGGGCCCGGCTGGGCATCACCCGTGGGGCTGCCCTGGGCACAGCACCACAGCGTTGCTCTGATGCGTCCCCTTTCCTTCCCTCCCAGGAGATCCGCACCCTGGGCACAGCACCACGGCGTTGCTCTGATACGGCCCCTTTCCTTCCCTCCCAGGAGATCCGCATGCTGAAGGAGGTGGTTGCAGTTCTTCCAGTGAGTGGCTCTAAAAACTGTGGTGGCTTTCCAAATAGTGCAAGACCTTCCCCTGACCCCGCAGCCCTGAGACCCCAGCTCCTTTACACCACCTCATTCCCTCTGCCACTGGCAGCCCCTGCCCACGCACAGGCACCCGCTGCCATCTGGGACCTCCTGGGGGGGGGCTGCAGGAGGACACACTCCCCGTGCTCCCCAGGTCGTATCTGCCACCCCTGTGCAGATGCCCTGGAGACGCCAGGGCCCGTCTCATATGGCACAAAACTGGTGCGTGGGCAACCGAACCGTGCCAGGAGCTAAATTAAGCATCTAATTTAATTGGGCTTCCTCTAGCAGAGGGGGCCTCCTTGGGGGTGTGAGGCTGAACCGTGCATGCACTGGAGGTGCCCCCTCTCTCCTTACTTGATGGAAGGAGAGAAGAGATTCGGCAGTGAATGTGATAGGAGTAGGTGGTAAAACAGAGGCTGAGTGTCCCCCAAGGCTGTACGGCTGAGGAAGGACCCGGCTGCAAAGCTGAGGGCACCTGCAGGAACCCTCGTGCCCCAGGAGGCTGCTCAAAAGCCTCAGCACCTATTGAAACCATACCCAGGGCTGTGCTCTGGGGCGTCCCCGCGGGCCCCGGCACCAACCGTGGCAGGGAGGCAGTTGTGCCATCAAGTTGGGTACAGGTTTGGCAATTCAAAATGTTGCCTAAGTGCATTTTTTTTAGGTGCTTCAGCCCTGCAGAAATTCTTAGAAAGTGAGGAAAGCAGGAAACACCGTCCCTGGGATACAGCCCTAGGGAATCTCCCCAGGGGATGCAAGTTTAGCAAGTGCTCCTGCAGCACCGTGGCCAGTACTGGCGGGGAAACAGGCTGCCCACGGGCTGGCACCACTGCAAAGAGCAGAGATCTGCTATGTTACCAACTCCCCAATCCCCAAATCTGCTGATCGGAGAGGGGAAACTCTGCACTCTCACACCTACGCGTGTCTGCGTTCAAACCCCCCAGGGTGACGAACTCATCACGACCTGCACATACAACACGGAGGACCGGAGCCGAGCCACCGTGGTGAGTGCGGGGACGAGCTCACCTGCCCGCGTGGGGCTGGCGTGTGTTTGCACCCCAGGGTTGGGGGCACCCGCAAAGTGGGCACCTGCATGAACCCGGGCTGAATCACAGCCAGAAACCAGAGGGAGGGTGGTAAAGAAACGAGCCCGCAAGGCTCTGCTGCCTGCAGCGGGGATGTTAAAGTGCTAATTGAGAAGTAGCATGTGTCACTCCAATTCCCATCACAAACTGTTCCACTGGGGATTAATTGTAATTAAAGAGAAGTGGCATTTTTTGACAGTGCATGTTATTTTCTTACATAGGCAGCAAAAAAGAAGCCTGTCAGAGGTACCATCAACAGGGACAAAGCTAAATATAGCAGAGGGATTATAGGAAATCTGCATTTTAATGTAAACCACACGATCTAGCCTGAAAGTCTGTCCTTGCATAAAGGGCGGATGGGCAGATGAGCAGAGCGCAGGCGACCCCATGCATCTGAAGGGGTGCATATATGGGGGGGTGTGTGTATATATATATGTGTGTGTGTGTGCGCACATGCGCGTGTGCACGTGTGCACGTACAGGTGTGAGCTTTGTGCCTTTGCAGCCCCTCTGCCCTCCCCGCTGCCTGTGCAGCCCCGGCAGGGCAGAGCCGGACCCCGCTGCCAGCACGTTTGTTTCTGTGCCGCAGGGCGGGTTTGGCATCCTGGAGGAGATGTGCGTGAACTACGTGCACTACTATCCCCAGACGCAGCTGGAGCTGTGCAAAAGCGCTGTGGATCCAGGCTACCTGCACCGATACTTCAACCTCGTGAACAGGTACAGAGCCCCTGCACGGCGGTGCTGGGGGGAGAGGGACCATTGCAGAGCCCTTTGCTAGTGACACTGGAAAAAAGTTTAAAAAGAGGGGTTTGAGGCGCTGGCTGGGCAGTAGGTACGCAGGGGCACTCAGGCCATGCAGGTTTCAGGAGCCGTGGCGGCGTGCTGGAGCACAGTCCTGCCCTCCCCTGCCCTCGGAGCAAGCAGCCAAACCCAGGGCTTTAAGGATGGCTGTGTAGTGAGAACTGCCGGGAAGGGAGAGCGTTCCCAGGGAGGAACTTCCCAGCAAGAGTCAGTGCATGGCCAAGTGCTTATGTGCAAACTACTTCTTATAACCCAAGGCAGACGCCAAGCGTCCCTGCCAGAGAAACAGGCTGCGGCTCATTCACCCACGATGAGAGGGGCGAGATGCTGACCTTGCACAGGGTGTCCTACTCACGGGCAGTCCGGCTGGCCCCACATCTTCACCCGCAGGTGCCGGCTGCACTAGGCTCTCCCTGCTCCCAGCGCCGACTTCGGAGCCATTCCAGGCCGAGCTTTAGGCAGGGAGGAATTAGACACATCCAGCGCTGAGAGGGGACAGCACTGCTGCGTTTCAGTGTGGCATTTCTCCTGCCCCAGGTTTAACGACGAGGAGGTCTGCACGTGCCCGCAGGTCTCCATCCCACAGCAGTTTTTCTCCGTCCCCTGGAACACGTTCAACAGAGACGTGCTGAAATCCCTCTACGGCTTTGCTCCGATCTCGATGCACTGCAACAAATCCTCAGCCGTCCGGTTCCCAGTACGTATAGCTTCACAACCAAAGCTTCGCAGCAAAACTCCCGGCCGTAGGTAAAAAGCAGCTCGGCGGAGCTGTGCGGCAGGGTGACACCGATGAGATGGGTCGGGTCTCCGGTGCTCAGGACATGGCTGCACCCGGCGCGCTCAGGGCAGGGAGCTGGAGCTGCCTGGGGAACCCCGGCGTCAGCAGGACACTGAGCCCAGCCCAAACCTGGTGCTTAAAACAATACGGCACAAGCCCGCTGTGGATGTGCTCGGCCAGATTCAATTAGGAGATGCTTTGCATAAAGCGAGTTTGAGGCTGCTTTCACTAGGCATCAAAGCAGGGCTAGCTCCAGAACCAAGGAGAAATGTGAGGTGGTTTTTAGGATTTTGGCAAATTACATCAGGTCCCAGCAAAGCGAGCTCATTACGCACAGCATCTGTGCCGTCTCCAAATGCAGCGATCCAGCAAAACGCGAAGAATAAAGGGCTGTGAGATCTTTAAAGGAAAACCAGGCCCAGCGATGATGGTCATGGCGATGATGGTGATGAAGATTTAAAACCACTGATGGTCCCTATCACCATCAGATCCCGACACCATTTATCAGTGTAATAAACTTACATGATACGCTATTTCTGGATCGAGTGTTATCCACCACAGCGCCGGAGGATGCCGAGCTGATTGCAGGGAAGACCATCAGCTTTCTGCCTCGGTAAAACCCCTTTAGCAAAATCTGCTCTGGAGGGGGCAGAAACCTTTCCAGTTCCCTGGAACTGGGGACCCGGCACCTCTCGGCCATGCAGAGCCCCGCTGCAGGGACAGAAGTGGCGCAGAAGTTTTGTGCAGCAGCAGAATTATGAATTAAGCCTCTTAATTACAGCCCAGACAACTCTCTTGATTTCAGAGAGGTCTGGAGGGTGGCTCGGAATAGACTCGAGTGGAGCAGAGCTGATGCCGGCACAAAGTGGGTCATGAGCATTGCAGCGAGGGCGAAGGAGCCGAGCTGCCCCTCCTGCTCTGCTGGTGTTTTCAGAGCGAGCCCAATTTTAAGACATCTCATTTATTCCACACTGTTTCTGCCAAGAGAAAAGCACCAGCTTCTAATTAAGCTTGTGTTTTTGCAGTTCAGCGATCCCAAACCTGACGAGATTTCTGGAAGGACTGAGTGCTGTTAATTATCGAGCAAAATCTCAAGGTAACACTTGAGAGTGGCTGCAGGGATGTCGCTGTCCCCGAGTCCCCTGCACCTGCAAGGGCTCACAGTGAACTCTCTATACTCTCTACGTTCAGATTTCCACTCAAAAGCACTGAAAACAACAACTGTTGAGACGCTCCAAATACCTTTGATCTACCCCAAAAGCAGGGTGCTGGTGAGGTGCTAGCGCAGGGTTTGGGACATGTCGGCAGGGCAGGCTGCTGCTGCAGATGGGCTCAGGGCTGGGGCCGAGCCCTGGAGCAGGCGCACCCTAAACATGCTTAACTGCTCTCTTAAGCCATAAGGGTACAGGAAAATAGTCGTTTCTCCAGCTGGTGCTTCCCTGCAATGCTGTTCCCTCTCCAGTCGCTCCCTGTGTGCTTTGGGAGGGTCCCTCCATCCCCCTCCACCTTTCCCCAGGGTTTTCCTGGTGTCGGTGCAGGCTCTGGCCCGTTTCGCTTGACATACTACAAGGAATTTCATCTGAAAACATAAATTCAACTTTCATCTTCTTGCTGATGACTCACGGCTCTACCTCTCATCTCCAGACCTCCCTCCTCCTGCTCACACTGCAGCTCAGCCTCTTGCTGACGTTTCCACATGAGCACACAGCCGGCAGCCAAACTGTTGCATCGCCAAACCAGAGCTCAGCCCAGACTGAGCCCCTCTTCGCCCTCGCAGCCCCTGCCTGCGTCTCACCCGGCCACTAACCCGGACCAACACGTCACATCTCAGCTAGATCCTGCCCGGCGGGCTCAGCCCTCGGCACTGTCTGACTCTGACAAATTGCTCCTTGCAGGGAGCATCCCCAGGAAAAGGTGCCCCCATGCATGCAGGGAGCTGGGGGTTTTGTCCTGGCCACGGTCACCTCGAGCCCTGATGGCTGTGACAGCTCTTCCCCGGCTCTGCCCCACGGCACCTCATCCAGGCTGCTGCGTCCCTCCCGTTTCACAGCAGCTGCACGTGAAATCCATGCTGGCACGCTGCAAATGTTGCCTCCAACCAACCTTCCTGCCAATACCTGGCAGAGAGCGTTTTTCAGGGCTGGGCTGAGAGCACGGTGGGTCGGTGGGACTCCCTGGTTTGAGTTGTCTCCATCTGATTTGGTGGGTAACGCTTTTTGGGGTGGAAGCTCCCTGATTGTGGTGGGTTTGTGCAACGTGGTGCACCGCAGACATCTGCGCCACTAAGGGGATGCGTAGGTGCTTCTGCAATACAAATAATTAGTAACGTCTCATAAGAAAACATCCTGGTTTGGGCTAAAAACACTTCAAATATTAAAGATTATTTCATTTTTACACATAGGGAGAAACACGGAGTCTCCAAGTACCCGAAACCCCAACTTGGTCTCATGGTGCTGATCTCTCTTGCAGGGCGAGTGGGAGAAGCAGCCGCTTCCCACCACCACCGAG